AAAGAGAGGAGGAGGGGAATGGACAAGGTGCTGGAAGTGGTGCGGCACCCCTGTCAGAGTTGACCCCCAGAAAGCTAGGGACGTCGGGAACCGCTTGTAGTGCTGCTCACACGGAGGCTGTGGGCTATGCCCACTGTGCTGCTTTCTTGTCCCGCTGCCCCATGCAGAGAGCTTGGTGTGGCAGTGTTCTCTGTCAGCCAGAAAAAAGGCTAGTCTAACAACGGTTCTGTGGTCCTTTAGGGTGTTAGAAGTAGTTGGGGATAATGACAGGCTTAGTTTGTCAGTGTAGTAGAAAGAGACCAGTCAACAGAGTTCACTTTGGAGATCACTCTCAGTTATCCATACGCCTGTCTTCCAAAATGGATAAACATAAAGATTTTGCTCATTTTTGAATTATGGTTATTATATAGAAATTCTGCATTTGTCCTTAGATTCTAGTTAAAAAGCAAATTTTACCCATTTAAAAGACAATTGTGTGTGTGTGTGTGCCTTTCTGTCTGTCTGTCAGTCGAACTGAGTATATGCACAAATGTGTGTGCAGGCCAGAACAGGGCATTGGACTGTGGGTGTTGGCAAGCCATTTAACACTGTACAAGGATGGGAACTCTAGCCCCCAGGATAGAGCAGCATCCTTGGGTCCCAGTCGCTGTCTCCCCAGCTCAGCATAGGCTCCGCACAGAGAAGCATCTCTCCTTGGTTGTTTAAGCACTGTGCTTCCGAAAGGAACGTTTGGTCCTGATTGAGGAGCTGCTTGTTAACAGCACTGGGTATGGAGTTAATCTCAGTGCAGCTGTGGAATCAGAATCGTATATGGCTTAGGAAAATGGGTGTGTCAGTGTGTCAGGACACTATCCAGGATGAGCGTGGAAAAAAGAAAAGCCTTTTGTAGTGCCAAAGTAAGAAATGAGATTAAAACCTAGGTACTGCTTGCATTCACGGGAAAATGTAAGGAAGGAGCCATCAGGATGGCTCAGCAGGTTAAGGAGCTTGCTGTCAGTCTCGGACCTCTGGTAGAAAAGGAGAACCATTTCCTACAAGTGTTCTCCCACAGACGCACACACACGCACATGAAGATGGAAGTTACAAAATAATCCCACACTAGCTCAGAATTGCATATAATAAAGGGTTATTTATTTAGGGGTAGACTCCCAGATCACAGTCCTCTGCATGAATGGGGAACAGGAATGGAATCCAGAAGCCAGGAGGGAGAGAGCAAGCATGTGCTTTCTATAGGCATTCATAGTATAAGAGGCCACGCCCAAGTGGGCTGGTAACTTAAAGGCCACTGGCTGAAGTAGTTCCTACAGCACACACACACTAAATGTAATAGAAACTTCTTTAAAGTTTAAGAAAAAAAGACACTTCTTAATAGAAGAATTAGTATTTTAATTCCAGTAACTTTATCTGACTCAGAATGTTTTATACTAAATGTGATCAAAATTTTAAATAGTAATCCTTTAAACAATCTTAGGTTGAAGCTGGGCATGTTGGCACTTGCCTTTAATCCCAGCACTCAGAGGCAGAGGCAGGCGGTGTGGGTCTCTATAAGTTTGAGTCCAGCCTGGTCTACAAAGTGAGTTGTTACACAGAGAAATCCTGTCTCAAAAAACCAAAAAAGAAAAAAAATTTTTAAGTTGTTGACTGTTCTTAGATACATGATACAGTAACCTAAAATGTCCCTTATTTTAAGTGGTCTTATTTTTCCAAGATGTTTTATTGCTAATGACTTTCTGTATAATAGAAGTTTCTAATTTTTGGAAGCATTTTCATTTCTATGTACAGGAGTCACTTGAGCTTGTACTGCTTGACCATATTAATCAATCATCCTGGGCTCTAGAGCCTGACTATAGAGGTGGGGAAAGGCAGGGAAGACCTGCCACGCAGTGGGCAGAGCTGAACCCCCACAAGCAGAACTGTGGTCCTTACCATTTCTAGGGGCCTCCACGCCTACCAGGGCTGGGACACACTTCCCTTTTATATGCAGGCATGGATTGCAGCCTCTAGCTTGTCTTTGGGGGGGGGGGGGGCGGCATTACAGGCATTTCTGTAGTGTGAATGTGAAGTCTGGTCCCTACAGGCCTGTGTGTCTGAACTCTTGGTTCTGAGAGATTATGCAGCCTCTGACATGACACCTAGCAAGCAGCTGTGGGGCTGTCAGAGTAGGTTTAAGGACTATATACCAGCTCCATTTTACCCTAGATAGAGTTCCCGATCCACCGAGATGTTAGCAGACTGCCTCACACATGAGCTACCATGAAGCCTCCATGTCTTCTCTTCCACGAGGGAGCCAGAATGAGTCGAAGTAAATCCTTACTCCCTTAAGTTGCTTGCTGCAGGTTTCCTGTCATGGTAGTGAAAATATTAGTAACAGACTTTCTTCCCCCATGACAAATTGCTGATTTACATTTAATACAAGTTCTCCTTTTTCTCTATTGTGAGACATTAGAACCTTTATCTTGTGTTAATGACCCAGCCTTGGCCATAAGCTCCTTCTGTGCTTGCTCCTCCTGTCCCAGGAGTTAAGTTTGCTTTGTCATTGTCACAGAGATGCTGTCTCTGCATGCGCAGCACAACGCCTGTCCTCTGTGAGGTCTACGTGACATTCATCTAGTCAGCAGCAGTTTGTAAATCTGCGCCTGTTTCAGATGCTGTAGTGAAAACCACTCAGTCCACATTCTGTTCCATTCACACCGAGTGTCTCTGTCTGGTGTATTTTTCTCCATCAGTTACATTAGGCTCTAGACAGCTCATTGCTGTGCCTGAGGGTGGGGCAGTTCATCCAGGGAAACCAACAGTGAAAATACAAACCAGCACAACAGCCAGCCAGAGGAAGACTGCTTTCTGCCAGTTCAGGAGCTGAAAAGTGAGAGGGCCAGCGTTCCATCTGCACAGCTAAGACTTCCTGCTGTGCTGCTCCTGGCCTGTCCTCAGGTGACTGCCAGAACACCAGTCACCCATGCCTGCTCTTGTGAGATGCCTCCACACACATAGATACTTGACCACAGAAGGCTTCTTCACAAGCAATGGTTTGTAGCTAAAGAAACTTCTTCTCCGAGCCATTTTCATACCCTACTGAGTCCAAAGTAGCTCAGCCAAAGACTCTACCAAAACCTAAGAGGCCAGAATTGCACACGTAAAAACCTTGTGAGAAAAACAGGCCCTCAGGTGTGCTGCTGTCGGAGGGCTTCACCGTGTCACTGTTCCCTTTCAAAATTCTACCTAGGAGCAGCGGGGCTGCTTCCCACCCGGCTAGCTTTACCTGAAATAATTACACAGAAACTGTATTCTTTTAAACACTGCTTGGCCCATTAGTTTTAACCTCTTATTGGCTAGCTCTTACATATTGATCTAACCCATTTCTAATATTCTGTGTAGCACCATAAGCTGGCTTACCAGGAAAGATCTTAACCTGCATCTGTCTGGAGTGGGAGAATCATGGCGACCGCTTGACTTGGCTTCTTTCTCCCAACATTCTGTCTGTCTACTCTGCCTACCTAATTTTCTGTCCACTAAAGGGCCAAGGCAGTCTCTTTATTTAACCAATAAAATTAACACAAAACAAAAGACTCTCCCCCATCACTTTAACAACTACTCACCCACATGCAGCTTGGTGTAGACTTCCAGTTTCCCCTGTGGTCAAGTCTGGGGACTGGGCATAGAGCCGGGATCAGACTTCAGAAGGTGTAGAGGAAACTTCAGGTTTCAGTTCCTGGAGAGTTATGCTAGGGTCTTCTGCTGGGAGGATGGGGAAGCTCGTTCTTAGGTGAGCTCACAAATAATGCAGTGGTGTTTAATGGAGCTGAGATGAATATAGTGTAGCCCCAAACCTGACAGAAGCCATGTCTTCGTCTCCATGTGTGAAAACAAAACTGCAAAAACTGGTCCCGCCAGCCCTGGTCAGAGCCCTGTGCTCCAAGAATGAGACGCTATGAGTCTGTGTGATCAGCAGTGTCCCTGACAGCGGAAGTGCATGTGTTTGTGTTTAGTGCAGTAACTTAATGATTGAAAGTTCAAAGTGAAACCCTATCCTGAGTGAGATAAGCCAGACCCAAAAAGAGGAACATGGGATGTACTCACTCATATTTGGTTTCTAGCCATAAATAAAGGACATTGAGCCTATAATTCGTGATCCTAGAGAAGCTAAATAAGAAGGAGAACCCCCAAAAAAAAAACATATAGGCATCCTCAGGAATATTAACCTTCATCAGGCAATGAAAGGAGACAGAGACAGAGACCCACATTGGAGCACCGGACAGAAATCTCAAGGTCCAAATCAGGAGCAGAAGGAGAGGGAGCACAAGCAAGGAACTCAGGACCACGAGGGGTGTACCCACACACTGAGAGAATGGGGATGTTCTATCGGGAACTCACCAAGGCCAGCTGGCCTGGGTCTGAAAAAACCTGGGATAAAACCGGACTCGCTGAACATAGTGGACAATGAGGACTACTGAGAACTCAAGAACAATGGCAATAGGTTTTTGATCCTACTGCACGTACTGGCTTTGTGGGAGCCTAGGCAGTTTGGATGCTCACCTTACTAGACCTGGATGGAGGTCGGTGGTCCTTGGACTTCCCACAGTGCAGGGAACCCTGATTGCTCTTTGGGCTGATGAGGGAGGGGGACTTGATTGGGGGAGGGGGAGGGAAATGGGAGGCGGCGGCGGGGAAGAGACAGAAATCTTTAATAAATAAATAAATTTAAAAAAAAAACTCTTGACATTATACTGATGAACAAATTGAGAAGAGAGACACCAGCATGGCATTGAGCAAGTCTTTAGACCTGGGACACAATTAAAAGTTAGGAGCCATTTACCCTGCGGAGTTCTGCCCCATAAAGCAAGCCTGGACTTCAATCACAGTGGGACATTTTAGTATTATGCTATAGTTCACATAATATAGGGAAAGTTTCCTTTTTAAAAAGACGATATTTTACCTTTTTGTTTATTTGTTTGTTTGTTTTCTAGCTTGTAATATAGAATCTGTCTTTTCTGTGTTGTCAGAGCCAGAGCCATGACCTGAACCCTGATGACCGCTGTCAGGGCCTCTGAGTGACTGGCAGGTGCACCATGGAACTGAAAGTGTGGGTGGATGGAGTTCAGAGAATCGTCTGCGGTGTCACTGAAGTCACAACCTGCCAGGAGGTTGTGATAGCCTTAGCCCAGGCTATAGGTGAGTAAAACCCATCAAGTGCTCATGGGTGTGGAGATGCACGCATGAGTTAGCTTTCTCGGCGTCTTGATAAAATACCTCAGATTAGCCTAAGCAGGAGGCTTTGGCTCAGAGTTTCAGAGGATTCAGCCTATAGTTTCTTGGCCTAAGATGTCTGGGCAGAACATCCAGGTAATCAAAGTACATGGGGTGCAGGGAGAAGGGGAGGGGAGAAAGGGAGGGAGGGAGGGAGGGGTAGGAACCTTGTTTCCTTCCCAGCAGCACCCACTACAGGACCTCATTCCTGCACTGACTTTTCTCCCTGCCTGCAGCCTCCTCTTCACTGCATATTTCCCTTTCACCCTCAGGCTTCACTCCTTGACCTCACAGAATGGCCTTTGGGGACTCTGACATTGACACATGTTCTGGCTTCCCAGGCTTTTCTTCAACACCCGGATGGAAGTTTCCATTATCCCTAACTCTTACGTTCTGCATGCCTGTAAAACCAGCACCAATTGGATGATACCAATTCTGCTGGCAGCCCAAGCAGCAGCTGGGCCTCTTTGGACCACAGTTGCAACACCTCTGCGTCCTTGGGCAGTTGTGCACAGTGACAGTCCTGAGGGAATACTTCCCAGGCAGCCAAAAGGTGCGCTCCTTCCAAGAAAAAGCTCTCAGGTGATGCTACCATTTCCACTCTTCACTCTGAGGGTGGTTTGGCCAGGTCCTGAGGTTCTGTCAGGGCACCTCCTGTTGACGCCGCACACGTACTGGCTTCTGTAGTCGGTAGCCGTGCCCTTGTCTGCAGCACCCTCCTCTAGCCATTGCCCTGTGTCCAAACCTCACTCTGCTTCTTCCTTCCAGTTCCTGCTGTAAGCCTGGCTCCAGGCGGCTAGTGATACCTGTGCCATCGCTCACATGCTGTGCTGTCCTAAAATGCTCTCCGCCAGAGTAAATATGCCATCCTGTTTAAATCCACCTCCCGAAAGTCTCAAAGTATGAACAAAATGTAGACAAGTTATTTGCCACAACATAACATAAATGACTTCTAATCCAGTTCCCATGAGTGTTGTTCCCATCTGAAACTTCTGGGCATGCCTTGTCCACATTCCCCTGGAATTCTGCTCTTCTGAGCTCCTACCAAAACCACCATAACTCTGATTTACAGCATGTTAAGATTTTTTTCCCCTGCCTATTTCTCTAAACTCTTCTAAATTCACCCCACAAACTACTTCTAAAGGACTTAAAAACCACCTGGTCAGATGGAATGGTAGCAGTGACCCCATTCTTGGCATCAGTTTTCTGTGTTAGTTACTTTGCCCAGTTATTACCAAAACTTCACGTGAGTAGTATGGTTTGTGTCATAGTTCCAGGGCATCAGTCCATTGTGATGGGGAAGGATGTGGCTGTCTTATCACTGTTCTGTTGCTATGAAGAGACACCGTGACCAAGGCAACTATTAGGAGAGAAAGCATTAACTGGGGCTTGCTTTCAGTTTCAGAAGTTTAGTCCATTTTCATGTGGCAGGGAGCACAGCAGATGCAGCAAGTATGGTGTACGCATGCAGAAGTAGTTGAGAGCTACATTCCGATCTGCAGGCAGAGACTGGGCCTGGCAAGGATTGGGAAACCTCAAAACCCACCTGCAGTGATGCAATTCCTCCAGCAAGGCCACACCTACTCTATTGAAGCCACACCTCCTAATCCTTCTCAAATAGTGCCACCCCCTGCTCACTATTATTCAGATATGTGAGCCTATGGAAGTGATTCTTACTCAAACCACCACAGTGTCCAAGTCAGAAAGGTTTACAGAAGTGGTCCCAAAGGACGTGACCCCATGGACCAACTTCCTCCAACTCAATAATACAACCATAAGTCCATCAAAGGATGAATTCGTCTATTTGGTGAGGGCCCTAATCATCACCTCTAAAAATGCCACCACAGACACCACAGACCTGTGCTCTGCTAACTGAGGCTCTCCTGCCCATCAAGTGCACCTTACCCCATGTGTGGTGCACACTGCGTTCTTCTCCAGTGGGCTTTCAGGCACACTGTGTGTCAGGCTGTGGTAAGGCTTGCGCTCTGAACCTCCCTCATGCTACCTTGTGTCTGAAGTCTGTACGGCCTACTCCTGATGTTTGTCTTCAATAGTGATTTTTTTTTATTGTAGATGTTTCCTAATCCAGAGCAGACTCCTAGCTCCCAGAACCCCTTCTGAGTTAAACTCTACTTATTGTCAATTTCTGAATACATTTAAAATAAAGAATAAAGTAAATTAGGCAGTGTGTCTTTATTAAATAGAAATGTGGACTTTTTTTTAACATAATGAAGATGAAGTTGCCCTGTTTCATGCCCTGAAGTCCATGTTTCCAGCCACATTTCCTGGGTCTGTCTTCTGTCTTTCCTCCTATTCTGTTTCAGCTTTCCCTCTAATTTATTTATTTATTTATTTATTTTTTTGGTTTTTCGAGACAGGGTTTCTCTGTGGCTTTGGAGCCTGTCCTGGAACTAGCTCTGTAGACCAGGCTGGTCTCGAACTCACAGAGATCCACCTGCCTCTGCCTCCCGAGTGCTGGGATTAAAGGCGTGAGCCACCATCGCCCGGCTCCCTCTAATTTATTTTAAGCTTTTCTTTAAAAGTACTTCTTTGAAAAAAAGAAAACAAATTTAAAAATAAAAGTATATACATACACATACATGTCTTTGTGTGTGTGTGTGTGTGTGTGTATGTGTATGTTTGTATACACACACCTCCGTATAAAAGCTTTCCATGGTAGTAGGGATTGAACCCAGGGACTCAGGAGTGCTGAGCAGGTGCTCTTTCACTATTGTGGGAAGGTCTCTTGTTGGTTCACGGCTGCTCAGCCCCGAAATAAACACACAGAAACTATATTACTTAAATCACTGTGTGGCCCATTAGCTCTAGCTTCTTACTGGCTAACTCTTCATTAATTTAACCTATCTCCATTAAACTGTGCATCACCATGAGGTCGTAGCCTACTAGCAAAGTTTCAGCACGTCTGTCTCTGGTGGCAGCTCCATGGCTTCTCTTAACTCTACCTTCCTTCTCCCAGCAATCATTTTAGTTTTCCCTGCCTACCTCTGTTCTTTTGCCCTATCACAGGCCATGACAGTTTCTTTATTAACCAATGGTATTCACAGCATACAGAGGGGAGGGAATCCCACATCATGCCTCTGTCCCAAAACCTGTTTGTCATTCCTGTTTTGAGACAGGGTTACCACCAACTTACCCAGGCTGACCTTGGAATACTCTGTACTCCAGGCAAGTCCTGAACTTGCAATCCTCCTGCCTCAGTCTCCTTAGTTGCTGGAATTATAGGGCTGAGCCACTAGGCCCTGTTTAAGATTTTATCAGAATTTATATATACTTATTAGATGCTTTAGATTAGTTTTTGGAACACAATGAAGGCATAAACCTCTATCTCCATAAAACCAAGTAATGTGTTCAAAGTTTCTATTTATAAATCTGCCATTTAGCAAACATGATTAAGAGGAAATTGCATCCTCTTAGCAGGACCTGCTAGGTGCTCGGCTATTCTCTGTCCCTGAGCTCCTAGTCAGAGGTTGATAGCAGACGCATGTCAAGTCAGTTCAGGATTGGAACAGGTCACCGCTCTCAGCACACTCATCTTTCTTTTCCGTAGGTCTGCAGCCTCACTGTATTAAAGCAGTGCTGGAAATGCTGAATACAGAGCTCCTCTGAGGAGGAGCTGGCCTGGTGACTGGCCTGCAGCTGCTTCCTGTCCGCCACATTCTAACTGCTCCCGCTACTTAAAACCATAATCAGCGTTTTATTTGCCCTTGTTTATTTATGTCACACTTGTCTAACAGGCAGCTTAGATGCTCAGTGCCACAGATATCTAGACGGGTAGGTAGCATGATGAACATTCAGGCTATGTCGGTTTATTCTTCTTATGTCCCGCTTCTGAATCGCTGGGGGCACTTTGTACCCACACACCCCGATGCCCGTGTGTTGACCCAGAAACAGAGAAAACAGTGTGTGTCAGCAGCTCGTGATGCTGCTCCTATGCCCCCACTGCAAGATGGCAGAGCCAGGCCTCTCCTTTCTAGGACAGTAACTACTACTGTTTGCTTTCTTTGATGTGTGGGGCACATATGCATACGTGTGTCACCTGCATGTATAAAGGTCGTTTCTCATGACCTCCCTAGCATTTTGTCGAGACAGTTTCTCACTGTCCCAGACTCCACAAGGGTCACACGTGTGTCCTGTTGTCCATGGTGTTTTGTGGGCTCTGGGCTCTGAACTTAGGTGCTCATGTGTGTCAGCTGCTGTTTACTGACTACTGTCCTTCTCAGCGCCTCATGTACGCGCTTAACAAACTCAGAATAGCACCCACCTCAAATAATGTGTTCACACCCGTAATATTACATTGTCTTTTTTTCTTTCTGTACTATATTTATCTATTTATTTATACATCTATTTATTTGGGGAGAAGGGCAGCAAATATACCAAAACTCACATGTGGAGTGTTGGCGGGAGGCCGCTCGTTCATTTCCCAGCAGTCCAGACTCCCAAAATAACCACACAGAAACTATATTATTTAAATCACTGCTTGGCCAATCACTTAAGTGTATTGTTAGCTAGCTCTTATATCTTTGGTTAACCCATTTCTATATTTTTATATTTTACCACAAGGCTCATGGTTTACCAGCAAGGTTCCACCTGGTGGTTCCATGGCGACTCCCTGACTCTGCCTACTCTCCCTCATATATATATATATATATATATATGAGAGAGAGAGAGATGTAGATATAGATATATAGACATATAGATATATAGATATATCTTCCAACTTTTCCGACTTGGCTATATTCTGTTATTGGCCAAAGGCAGCTTCTTTATTTATGAACCAATAAAAGCAGCCCACAGACAGAAGGACCTCCCACACCATGGAGGCCGGAAACATTTCAGGATCAGCTCTTTGTTTCCACCTTGTGTGTGCCCAGGGTCACCAGGCTTGGTGACAAGTATCTTTACCCACTGAGCCCTCATTCTGGCCCTATATTATCTTTTGAAAGTTTACTTCAATCCTGTAATTAGTGGATAAAGCATATTTTTTATTTAAATGATTTTACTGTTTTGTCTCTAACAATAAAATCTAAATTTGGGGTTTTTTAAGAACCTTTGAAACTATTCTTGTCAACATTAAACCAGACTTATCTTCAGACCCCGTTTTACAGGAAGTTATTAGGAAGGGGCAGCTTCACTGGGCAGCTTCAGTTGTGTGAGCTGTAGGCCAGCTGAGTGCTGGGGAGCCCTGAGACCTGGGTACTGCAGTAAGCTAGGGCTGGTTCTCCACTAACCCTGGTCTGTCTTGTCAAGGCTGACACAGTGAGAATCTGTGCGGCTTTAACTTCTGGGACCTTCCCTCTTGGCTGCGGGGAAGCGTTCCTAGCGCTTCCCTTTGTTCAGTCTTACCCCAGAAGTCCTGAGCGCTTAGATGTCTGACCAGAGTATAAAATTCTTAGTCAGGGGAATAGAAAGTGAACTTCCCAGCAACTCAGAGGGTTGAGATCTGAACACCATGCTGTCCGTCAGCTGCCAGAGGCGCCTGGACTCTCAGCGCTGGCATTTCCGTGCTGACCTAGAGCAAATGTCAGTTTTGTCTGTTGCGCCATTTATCACTCCTGTCCCACTATGACAGAATATCCTGGTCCTTTCCAGGTCGAACCGGAAGGTACACCCTAATAGAAAAATGGAGAGATACGGAAAGGCACTTGGCACCACACGAAAACCCCATCATATCCTTGAACAAGTGGGGGCAGTATGCTAGCGACGTACAGCTCATCTTGCGTCGGACTGGGCCATCTCTCAGTGAGCGACCCACCTCAGACAGTGTGGCCCGGATTCCTGAAAGAACTTTGTACCGACAGAGCTTGCCCCCCTTAGCCAAACTGCGGCCTCAGGTGGACAAGTCGATCAAAAGAAGAGAACCTAAAAGGAAATCACTAACCTTCACAGGAGGTGCCAAAGGGCTGGTGGACATTTTTGGGAAAGGAAAGGAAACTGAGTTTCGGCAGAAGGTGCTGAGCAGCTGCAGAAGCACTGCGGAGGAGCTGAAGCGGCTGATCCGGCTCCAGACAGAGAAGCTACAGGCCATTGAGCAGCAGCTGGAGTCCAGCGAGCTCGAAATACGGTTCTGGGAGCAGAAGTACAACTGCAGCCTGGAAGAGGAGATTGTCCGCCTGGAGCAGAAGATCAAGAGGAATGATGTGGAGATCGAGGAGGAGGAATTCTGGGAAAATGAACTGCAGATCGAACAAGAAAATGAAAAGCAGCTGCAGGACCAGCTTGAGGAGATACGGCAGAAAGTCACGGACTGTGACAGCAAACTGAAGGACTACCTGGCGCAGATCCACACCATGGAGAGCGGCCTCGAAGCGGAGAAGCTGCACCGGGAGGTTCAGGAGGCACAGGTCAATGAGGAGGAGATGAAAGGGAAGATTGAAAAGGTCAAGGGGGAGATGGACCTTCAAGGGCAGCAGAGCCTGAGGCTGGAGAATGGCATCCGAGCCGTGGAGAGGTCTTTGGGGCAGGCTACCAAGCGCTTACAGGTAAGGCTATCTCTGAGCAGGATACCTCATCCTTGTAAGGGGAAGCTTAAGACAGACCCAGCTGTGGCTCTGCAGCCCAGGCGCTCTCGGGGACCTAGGAACCTTATAGACTGAGAAGTTCATGAGAGTCTTGCTCGCTTCGTGCTATAATAAGAGTTAGCAGATTCAGCTCCAACACCTCATCAAAACAAGAGCTCTAGCTCTTGTGAGCCAAATTGCTCTTAATGTGCGGACGGTCATAAAGTGCATAGGAGGGCATTTGTCACAAGATCAGCAAGACTGATGTAGCACTGAGGTGTGTAGAAACAGTACTTTTGATGGCAGACTAACACCGTACATTTTTTTTACACGAGTGTGTGGCCGCATCCAGAAGGGACGCCTCCTGTTTAGGAGGATGGGCAGAACTCTCTTTAGCCACCCTGTGCACAGAACCAAGAGTGTCAAATGAGTCCCGAAAGCAGGCCCCATCCCTCAGCCCCTCCCTCCCCTGCAGCAGCAAGGCAGCCCCACCTACACAGCACCTTACAGATTAGCTGGTGTTTTCCTACCAGGACAAGGAGCAGGAGCTGGAGCAGTTGACCAAAGAGCTGCGGCAAGTCAACCTCCAGCAGTTCATCCAGCAAACAGGGACGAAGGTCACCGTGCTGCCAGCTGAGCCCACTGAAATAGAGGCCTCCCAGGCAGACATAGAGACAGGTAAGGTCTTCCTCTGTCCTCCCTGAAGTCACTACAGTGATGTCCTTCTTGTTTCTGGGGGATCTGTTTATTTGGATGGACATATGGTTTATTTTAAACTGCTTCTGTATGGACCTGTTTACCAAAATATAAATATGAATATGAATATGGGTCATGTTAATTTGCATCCTAACTTCTCCTGACTCCCCCTCCTCTCCTGAGTCTCTGTTTATCATCTGTTCTGTAATTGGAACTTCCCATCTTGTGCTGTGGCCCCAGCAACTGGGAGAAGCTGCAGAGCAAAGCCCACTAGACTTTGGGAACAGGCTCCTGACCAGAGTTCCTGCCTTCTCCTTCCCAGTCCCTGCCTTCTTCCCAGATCTCCTGCCTTCTCCTTCTCAGTCCCTGTCTTCTTCCCCTGCTTCTGGCTGCAGTGTGGCCTTCTCTCTGTAATTCTTTGGGGTGGGAAGTTACTAAGTTTTCTGGTTAGCCAATTCACCAGATGACTGCCTGTTCCCTGTTTAGAAGCGCCATTCCAGTCTGGGTCCCTGAAGCGACCTGGTTCTTCACGGCAGCTCCCCAGTAATCTTCGTATTCTGCAGAACCCCATCTCCTCTGGATTTAATCCTGAAGGCATCTATGTATAACATTGTCTTCAGGGGAAAGGTCCAGCCAAGGTACCGAGGACAGTAAATCCTTCAGTGTGTGCCAACTGAACGAGGGTCTATCCCAGGCCACTCTACCCTCTCCAATTGCAGACCACTTGAGCCTTGTGCACTGACGCCGAACACGGAGCTGTTCACACTTGCAGTATTGATGCACTGTCTAGCAGCTGACATGCAAAGCCTTCATTTTTATTTGTAGTATTCTGAGGACATTAGAAAAGTATTAGCCTATGTTTATACATGAATAAACCCTGAATTAAAGAGTAAAGTTATGTAACTGTTTAGTTTAATTTATTCCATGTAACTGATTGATGTATGAATGTTGCTGTTTAATATTTTATTAATCCTTATCCTGTGACTTAATTATGTTAACTGTTGTGGGCTTCTAACTGTGCATGTTGGCAGATTCCGTCCGAGCTTTGCTCATGCATAGCTATGCAGCCTCCTGGGACGCTTACCATCCAGACTGACTCCAGCGCAGCCAGCTGCACTTAATGCTGGGGCTTCTCCCCACCCCCGCTTTCTCTCTGCCCTGGAAGCTGAGCGTTTCTTTACAGTATTTCCCAATGTAAATTACCATATACCATCACAGAAACAGCTTTAATGGGGTAACTGTTCATATAAAATGCTTGTGGTCATAGACTGCCAGCAGGTCAGCTGATGGCTGCCCATGGGTTTCCTGGTACACGCTAAGGTCTTCCTGTCTTACGCTCCCATGATGTGAGGAGGAGAGAGCCCTGAAGATGGGGATGCCGTACTTTGGGAATCATGGGATACATTTCAGAGCAACCCACTTCCTCTGTGTAGTCCGTGCCATGCCAGCAGGGGTAGGTGCCGTTTGCCGTAATGTAAATGTGACTGCGTGCTCTCTGTCACCCAGTCACACCTCGGCAACACCGCGGTCAGGTATTTTTTTACCAAGGAAATAAAGTTAAATTCAGAGATTGTTTTTATTTTTAAGTTTGACTTTATAGGATACTAGTCTTATATTTGTATCATTTTGTGTATTAAGCCAAAAAGAGAGAGTCAATACTTTTCTCACACGCAGTGACTTGGCTGCATTCACAAGTAATATTTAGACACGTGTCAGCCTTGCAGCCCTTTCCATCCTCTCGGAGCACACCTGGCACGAGGCAACGACGACTTCGGTCTGAAAGTGAAGTCGTTTTTAATTCTAAAGAGAATGCACCCCCGTACTACTTACATGCAATAGAATAAAAGTGGATTAGTAGGGCAACGCCTGGTGTCGCTAGGGCGACTCTGGATGTGTGAACACATCCGGGCTACGTTTGGTTTACCGGTGTTTAGTGAAGCCGAGCACACAGCTTTGTTTAGGTTTCCAGCGAGAAGATTTAAGAATGGCTGTGAAGTAATAGACGCTTCTTGAGAACTGAAAGCCATGAATGTCGCCCCTACCCACATAAATACATAAATATCAGACCTCAACCTGATGTCTTTGGGTCCTCGGACTTACCAAGTTGATTCTGCCATTACTGCTCTGCAGAGGACTTGAGAAGGAACCGCAGCCTGTACACATTTGATCCAGATTTGTAACAATTGTTTCATATCTATATATATTTAAAAATATAATTCCAAGGGATTTGTATCTTTTTATGACAGTGGTGACTCATGACACCCAGCCCATGCCTTATTCTGTCCATTAAACCTTGACCACAAAGGTAAACATTACACAAATGGATAAATGTTAATGAGAAATCAAAGACAAAGCTGGGCACAGTGGCTCATGACATAATTCCAGCACTCAGGAGACCGAGGCAGGAGAGTTGCCACAAGACCCAGGCTGTCCTAAGCTCTGTGGAAAGTTCTAGACTAGCTTGGAGTCTAGTTTGAGGCCCTATCTCAGAAGGAAAGGGAAGGACCTGCACGATTCCTTGGCTCGCCTGGTGGAGCAGCACAGTACACAGCTCTGTGAACTGCCAGGTTTCACATCCTACCAGCTCCCGACAGTCCTGGCTCTCCACCAGTGAGTACCACACATTCCATCTCTACCAACCTCAGCTCCGAAGCTGCCAGCTGCCCTCCATGGGCCTACCTATACACACAGACAGCCTCCCGGACGAGCGGAGTGTGGCCATGTGAATTCACAGACAGACTGAGCAGCTGGGCTTTGTCCCCAGGTCCAGGACTTCCCCAAGCACACCACTGTCAAATGTTTTCTAAGTCTTTTTTAGCTAGAAAAACAACTAATTTCCCTACAGAGATTTTAGTCTACTGTGCCTGTTTTTACCTACGGTGACTACAAGCGCATCGGCTTTCGAGCCCTGTCTGTGGCCACATCTCAGAGGGGTGCGGGCAGTGGGATTCAAAAAATACCAAATGTCAAATTTTGCATATGGGGAAACAAATATCCAGGTTCTAAATAATAAATTAGATCACAAATTTTCGTGTCTTTTAAATTAGCACTGCAGGTTATATTATGTGGTTTTTTTCTACAGGTATTAAATATGTAATATGTTTTATTCTGACCAGTGAATAATTTGAATATCATTGGTCTGTTTGACCTCTAGAGCATCCTTGTTCTCAGAGAATCACCCACAGTGGGTTACCTCATTTGTGTGTGTGTGTGTGTGTGTTTTGTCATTTTCTTTATATTTTGGCTGTTAACATTCGTTTTTGTCTCAGTTAACAGGGCGTTTTTTTTTTATATGTGAGGCTTCAGATGGTGCTGAAGCTGCCCTTTGAATGCCCACTTAGTTTTCGGCGGGCAGGCAGCTCAGCAGCTCCTAGAGTTGAAGTCAGTTTAAACAGAGCCGATTCCAACCTGGCATGTAAAGTAGACATAGCTCGTGGTGAGTGTGGTGGCCCAGACCTATAGATCCGCACTGCTCCCACAGCCGAGACCAAGTGCAGTCCTACGCTCACAGTCTTGGTCCGAGACAAGGATGCTATGCCAGGGAGACCTTCCCAAGTGAGGACTGACAGGCTGAAGAAATAGTATGGAGAAAAGACAGGGCTGATTTCAGGCACGCACTGGGACAGCAGTTAGCGTTGGACGTTGCCTTCGACAAAGTAGGCCTTAAATTTTATATATATATATATATATATATACAAAGTGACGCTCTGCATCCTTTTCTAACACAGCCTGTCTTGACTAGTCTGCGGTGAAGCTAGCTCCTACGTATTCCTTTGGTAACATGTCAGTGTCTTTAAGTTGCATGTGCGTCCTGTCTGCTGTGGTTATGTTCCAGGAGAAGGCTGTCGGCTGGTCAAGGGTTCACGGCCATCAGTATTTATTCAGTATTGCTGCTTCACACTTCCCATGCACCTTGGACTCCAGGTCAGTGGCAGCGCCAGAGCCGCGAGAGCTCCTTCCCGTGCATTTTATATATTTTTAGAAACCAAATGCCTGCGGATGGCTCTTTAGCGTACTATTAAACCAGCAGAACTCTAAAGGCAATAAATAGATGTGTCTATGTGGGGGGAGGGGAGAGTGGAAATACAGGTTTACAGCAGCCCTGGTGAGAGCCCGCCCATGTCCTGCTCAGTGTCTTGTCACTGACCCAGAAGGGTTTGCGTTGCTGCAGCTTTAGACAGAAAGTGTCCATGTTCGCTGACTGTGGGCCATGAACATGCTTTTAGTACCGCTTTGCTGATGTATAAATAAGAAATCTGTAATATGTATTATATGTAATTATTTTCTTTTGACTTCATTTCAAAATGTATATTTTCTGATTATTATCATGAGCTATAAAGCAAAAGATCAATATCTGATATTCTCCCAAATAATAAATTTTCAAGATTCATGGGGCAATACAATTGTTTTCTTTCTTATATGCTTAATACTTCAAGATATAGTTTTGTTTCCTTTGAAAGATGACAAAGTAGGTCTATGAATCAGTGATAAAAAATGATATTTTTTCTAAATGCAGTATTAACCTGAAGAACTATCTTCTGCCTAGAAGGTAGCAACTAGGCTAGGGAGATGGCTCGGTAGTGAAGAACCTGCTGTGCAGGCATGAGCCCTGAGTTCAACCCCTCAGCACCCACGTGACACACAGCACACACCAGTACTCAGTGCTGAGATCAAAGCCAAGTGGATCCTGGGCTCGTTGGCCAGCCAACCAAGCTGAAATAACATGCCCAAGTTCCATGGAAAACCCTGCCTAATAACTAAGATGGTGACTGAGAACAGTGGTTGACCTCTGACCTCCCAACAGAAGCGTGCACCTGCACATGGATGTGGACACACACACATACACGAAAGAAAAGGGAGGCTGCTTCATTAAAGTAGACTTAAAAGAGACTAATGCCCCCCCCCATTTCAGCCATGAAACTAAGATGCTTGCTGGTTTGTATTTCCAGCTTTAAGACATCAACACGAACCCTGTGGTGGCCATGGGACATGCAGTTGCAGCCTGAGTAAAGGTTGATGTCGCAGCCACCCCAGGAACTGCTCAAAAGCCACAGTGAATAAGTAGCTGAAATCAGCTCTTCCAGCGCCCAAAGCACTTTTTGTGTCTCTGGTAACATTGCCGGAGCTCACAGAGGACAGCATCTACACCCTGCCCACCCCCAATGTGCAGTGTGTCCACCTTTGGAGGAATAGTTTTTAAAAAGTAGAGGTGAAACCTAGGTTGAAAAAATATGCATGAGTAATACTGTGTTGCAAAAGCAGAGAAAATGAGAAAACTTACCCAAAGAACTCTGTCCCCTAGTTAGGCTTTAGACCTAATGACCCATCCTGTCCCCTCTTCAGCATGTGCTAATGGCTGGAGAACAGTGTTCCCCGGCAACACAGTTCTTCCCTGGCTGTGCACGCTCTTCAGGCAGAGCACGTTAGGAGATGCCAGTGGAGGGTTTATTTAGTGAGCACTGCTTACAGACTGAATCACCGTGGCTCGCCCACCTCAAGGTGAGTGGCAGCCTTACTCCACGTGGTAAGCTCAATTAAAGGGCTAAGGGTTGGTAGAGTGTCATGAAACCATGGTGGAAGGGTTCCCCACCAGCTCAAGCACCAGAGAATGCCTGAGAAGGTGACAGAAAACAGAAGAGCTGTGACAGGGAGTGGGGTAGAACACTGGAGGCCAGGCAGCTGTGGCTAGGGGGAGGGGCAGGAAGACATAGAGGGTAGACAGGCATCACCGTCATGAGCCATGGTTGCCATGGGAAGAGTAGATTTGAAACGCACCCAGCATGTGTTTGAACATGTGGTCCTGTTTTAGAAGACATTGTATAACACGGAACCTAGCTGGGAGAAATGGGCACTAGGGTGGGTCCTGGGAGATACAGGACAGATGGCTCACTTCCTTTTTCTTGGTCCACTGGGATTGGAGCAGTCATCCAGTGCACACACCCACTGCCACAGAGCCACACGCCACATGCCCTCCCCACGATGAACGACAGCCCCTCAAACTCTGAACTTGGGCCCACATAAACCCTTTAAGTGACAGACACTGGCTGTATCCCAATTGTCATTGACACTTCAAGCTTGGAAATGGCATGGTCACGTTCATATGCAAGGAAGACACTTCTGGCTGCCAGCGTGCGTCACTGAAGAATCCTCTAACAAGGTACCATGTAAGCAGAACTGGCCAGAGGTGGGTGAGCTAGGGAAGGAGCTGTGGGCACGTGCGTATTTAAAAGGCTCTACAGAATGCTCTCTTGGACCAGGACTTCAACAGAGGCTCAGCAGAGCAGCTCTAAGCAAGAACTAGTGGCACCTCTCTCTGACTGAGGCGAGCGGGGCTTCAGACGGAAGGCTGGGCATAGTCTGGAGAGTGTTTTAGGGAGGGCAAGTCACCGGGAAAGGCACTTGTTACCAAGCTGGACAACCTGCACTCGATCCCAGGAATCCACATGGTGGGAAGAGAGAAGTGGCTTTCCGTACTTCCACAGTGTGTGCCAGTGCAAAATAAACTAATGTAAGAGTGGTTTTTTAGGGGGAAAAATGTGCAGAAAGCAGTCTGTTAGCACCCAGTCATTACAATACGGCACAGGAGAGCTCCTGCACAGACAGGCAGACAGACAAGTAGACAGATAGACAGACAGGTAGGTAGGTATAGAAATAGATAGAAGCTGGGCAGTGGTGGCGCACGCCTTTAATCCCAGCACTCAGGAGGCAGAGGCAGGCGGATCTCTGTGAGTTCGAGGACAGCCTGGTCTACAAGAGCTAGTTCCAGGAAAGGAACCAAAAGCTACGGAGAAACCCTGTCTCGAAAATCCAAAAAAAGAAAAAGAAATAGATAGAAAATCTTAGCTCTTCATTTAACAAAAGTAGAAACTGAGGCCCAGAGAAAATTACTGCTAATATCACATAGCTCTTGTGAAACAGATGCAATGAGGCAGCCAACTTTAAAAATACATGTTTTTAATTTTATGTATGTAAGTGTTACACGCACACGTATGTAGGCATGTGTGTGCCTGCTGCCAGAGAGGGTGCTAGATCCCCTGGAGCAGGAGATAGGGATGGCTGTGTGCTGCCGTGGGAACTGAACCCTGGTCCTCTGGGAGAGCAGCCAGAGTTACAAAGGTGGCAGCCTCCAAAGTTACCCCTGAGCAGTGGTTGGGCAACGGAACAGACAGGTAGCCCAACTGAAGAAGGATCAATACCTTCTTAAGCGCCTGCTGAGGAAAGGATCCAGCCTGCGACTGGATGGAGCATCCCCAAGTCTGTGCGCTCACATCACCCTGCAGGGTCACCTGGTCAGGAAACTGCCTGTCTCTCCCGAACGCCCACCCCAGTGGACACTACATCCCCAGTGCCTCTGTCAACCCTACTGACTTTTCCTAAAACATACTACTGCCCCCCCCACTTCAGTTCAGTTCCCCCATCACGTGCAAGCAGCAGCCTCTGTCCTTCCACGCTCTGTCACAGCCTGCCCGTGATTGGCCTGTTCCTTTGACATCCATCACCCCCCAGGACAGATACCAGGGCAGCCTTCATGCTGCCTTCCTCCCTGTTTCCAGGCACGAGTTTGACACGAGCCTCTGAGAGATGCTCGTTGTATTAAAAGACAGACAGATGGGTGCTGTCTGCTACAAATGAGAAACGAGCCACTGCCCAGGACGGACGTGTGTCCTCAGTGGTCCACAGCACACCATGGTGCTCCTCTCTCCCTGACTGCCATTTCCTGGGGGTAGCTCAGTGGGAGATGATACGAGGAGACGTGGCAGGGAGATAACAAGGCTGGCCCTTTTCACCCGCATGCCTGGTACTTCTTTTCCGGTGCTCACTGACCTCACCTATTCCCAAGTTGTCTGCCTGTCGCAGAAGATCCTGTGTGGCCTCTGATCCCATGGCCTTGCCTCACAGGGAGGACCAGACGTCAGCATCTCCAAGCGTCTGACCTCTCTTCTTTTACCTACCTCATATCTGACGTGAACGATAGACACAAACACTCAGGTCGGAGATGGGTGAATCTATTTCTCAGTAGACTCACTTGCGAATCAGCTCTCATTCCTTATTTGGGCTTCCATCTTTGCCCCAGATACATGGGAGATAGACTCTGAGGGCAGTACCTCTACCGTAACTTAAGAAGAATAAATATTCTTGTCCAAATAAAAGTTCTAATTTCCTCTTCTCTGCCTCATAAGAGTGTCAATGCAACGTGCCAGATGTTAGCTTAGTCCGTTGTGATTTTCCTTGTCTGTCCTGTTTACTGCAAGTGTGTACACACCTCACAGCCTCTCCTCAACCTATCTGTCAACCCCGAAAGGTCCAGATTGCTGTCACACAGAGAAGTGTGTAGAAGGAGCTGGGAGCTTGCAGGAAGAGGCAGGCAAGTCCTTCCTTGATCTTCAACTGCCACAGTTGAGTCTATTCAATAGAGCTCCTTCCCTGGATTTCCCACTACAGGGTGTCACTGTCTGGCCATCTGATGCCCTCTGCAGGACTTTCCATTGCAGGGCTGGACACAGATTGTCACTACCTGGTCATCTGATGCCCTCTGCAGGAAGACTCTATTTTGACTGTTTGAACCTAGAAGTCCCCAAGTTTGGGTGGGTACCCCTTCAGCCTTCATGGGACCAAGTGTTCAATCTTGTGGCTCGGTAAATATTAACTGTGTTTGTAGCCTGTCTGGCAGGGCAGAAGTTATTCTAAAGGCACACTTGTGTCCTTTGCTTTGTCTACCAGCCTACAGAATCAGTGGACCCCAAGAAATTAGAATTCTCCCAGGATTCTCAAGCTGGGAGAAGAGAAAGACTAGATGCTGGGCCAGCTGGAGGGGATACTTTTCAGAAAAGAAGATTCACAATTGGTTCGACTGCGTTACAGAGAAGAGAATGATGGGTCAGAAGTGGCGGCACCACACCTTGGCCAGAGCTGCTTGTATGGGCTACTTAAAACTCAACCTCAAATCAAGACCCTGAAAATGGGCTTGGGAAGGGAGCCACTGAACGCCCCTTCCCACGGTACCACATGGGCACATGCTTTTCCTGATTTTCACAACTAACTTGACTGTTTTAACTGGCTCACTGAGAACCAACAGCTGAACCTGGCTTGTCGGGGTGCAGGAGCAGTTTCCACAGCTGAGCCTGGCTTGTCGGGGTGCAGGAGCAGTTTCCACAGCTGAGCCTGGCTTGTCGGGGTGCAGGCTGTCTCCGTACGTCCAGGAGGACAGTTTCCACGGCTTATCTTGAAGCTTAAGAGCTGTCTTCATGCTCTAAAGTTCACTTAATTTTTTTTTTAAATTTACACCAAGAACCATATTGGGAGAAGTTCTGCTATGGATATAAATATTCTAATTTCATCTTCGTATCTTCAGAAACCCTTACTGTAGCCAATGTGTTGCCTGCCAT